ACCCCCCCCAGCCCCTGGGCGCCCCTGCTTCCCCACCTGGCCCATGGTCTGGCCTCGCTGCTTCGTGCTGAAGCCTTGGCTCTGGCCCTGGTGACTTAGAAGGGTGAGGTGCAGCGCCAAAACACCGAACCCCCTTTGTAAAGAAAGAACAGGGGGTGGGCGGCTCCAGGGGCCTGCTCCGTGATTCGAGATCTGTGCTTCACACAGAGTTACACATGGGATAAAGTTACATAGAAACACATTTGCACACCTGTGCACACACCTGCACACACACACAGACAGGTGCACGCAATGAACCTCGAATAAAACCTTCAATCTAGGCCTGGCCAGTGTGGCTCAGTTGGTTGGAAGGTTGTCCTCTGCACTGAAAGGTGGCAGGTTCGATTCCTGGTCAGGGCATGAGAGGGAGGCAACCTATGGATGTTTCTCTCTCTCCCACTCTCTCTCCCTCCCCCCTCCTTTCCTCTCTCTAAAATCAACGAAAAACATGTCAGGAAAGGATTAAAAAAAAGATCTGGGGTCTAACAGATGATGAATTATAGAATTGTACCCCTGAAACCTATATAATTTCATTAACCAATGTCACCCCAATAAATTTAATGAAAAAAACATCTGGGGTCTAGTTGACGGTCGTGCATTGTCTGGGCCTGATGTTGGATCACAGTTAACTAGTTGTCGCTGTTGGGGGAGCTGGGTGATAGAGACACGGGACCATCTGGACTATTTGTGCAGAAAGCTTCAATCTGACGGACTCACAGGGACCCTCTGCTGAGCGTGTTTCCCAGGTCTCCCTCGCCCTGAAAAGAACGCTCAAGTGGGTGGCCTCAGGGAGCCAGAAGGCTGGGGACGCACCCACACAAAAGGCTCACGCGGCCTTATCACTGCCCACCCGGGCCCTCAGCCCCGTCTCAGCCACTCCCGGTTACTCATTCCCTTCCCACTAGACTGAAGTCTGCTCCCCCCTCCACTCACCAGCTGAGCAGTGTTGGTGCTCAATGACTGTGATGAATAAAATGATTGGATGAGTGAACATATGGCCACAGTCTTTGCCTTCAAGGAGCTCACAGTCTGGTGGGAAAGGTCAACAGGGCCTCCGATGGGGACATCCAAGGGCCTGATGGAGCCCCGGGAGTGGGAAGACTCTGGTGGGCATGCCAAGCTGGGGCCTGTGGATGAGTAGGAGTTCGCCAGGGGCAGTGTGGTAGGGGTGGGAGGGAGGTGAGAGATTCTGAGTATAGTCCTGCAAGCAGGAGGATGGTGACAGAGGCTGAGAGAGGGGGAGTCGCTTGTCCAAGGTCATCAGCTGGTAGGGGCAGGGGGAAGCATACAAACCCCAGGACTATCTGAACCTTCTATTGTCTTTGGAGATGATTAGAAGAGTCAGTTCCATTTGAGCACTGGTTTTTGTGTCCAATGCTGTGGGGTTTTTTTGTTGTTGTTTGTTTTTTTGGTGTGACTTAACATACAGAAATTTATTTTCTCACAGCTATGGAGGCTAGAAGTCCAAGTTCAAGGTGAGAGCAGGTTGGGTTTCTTCTGAGGCTTCTCTCCTGGGCTTGTAGGTGGCCACCTTTCCCATGTTGTCACCGAGTGCTGGTCCCACCATGGGTCCCAGCCTGTGTCTCTCTGTCCAATGCTGTTTTAATGCATTTTTATTTTTTATTTTTTGCAAGGTAGCTCACTGAACCCTTCCCATGGTCCCATGAGAAAGGGACTATTGTTACCCTCAGTGCACTGAGGAGGAAGTGAAGTCCCCCACCCAAGGTTACACAACGCTAAGTGGCAAGTGGCAGCACCATGATTCGAACCTCTGCGGAGTGCTAACAACCCTAGGGAGTAAGATGCCCCAGAACAAAGGGGCAGATGGTGCAACTCTGAGTGGTGGGATTAGCCCCAGACATCAGCCCACAGACAGACGCCTCTTCCATTGTTCCAGGAAGGAAGGAGGAAAGGGAGGCTGAGGTTGCAGGTGGGGTGTGGGTCGGTGGCAGGAAGTGGAGGGAGGGCCCGTGGGTGGCTCCTGTTTCCTCTGGAGGAGACAGGAAGACCGAAAACCATCTCGTCTCATCTGTCACCTGGGGCGGGGGGAGGGGCACAGTGACTGCAGAGAAGGTGCCCAGGTGAGGTTGGCCATCAGGAATTTAAAGAGGAGCCATCTGAGCAGTTGGCTGATTTTGTTGTGTGTGTGTTTTCTCCAGCAAAGAACAGGCAGATGCAGGGCTGTGTGATGGTGGGACAGGTGCTGGGACAGGGAAGCTGAGGATGGGAGGGTTACTGAAGGGGTGGACTCTGGGGTAGAGGAAGTGGAGACAGAAGGGGCTTGGTGGGGAGGCTGCAGGACAAGGGTCAGGGTGTCTTTGAGGTGGAAAAACAGGTACGACAGAGCCACCCACAGGCCTGGGAGCATGGGAGGCTGTGGTCAGGGAGTGGGATGTGGGATTTGGTGGTTTCAGAGGTGGAGCCCTTTGGGATGGAGATAGGGGCCGGGGTGTGACCGTGAGAATGGGTGACGGAGGAAGGTGGTCTCCAGCCACGTGGATGTTGGGGGATTGCCCAACCAGGGGGTCCTCTCTCCCGGGGTCAGAGCCTGAGTCCCTGGGTCAGTGGATGCCTGTCTCGATCTCCACTTAAAATAAAAATAAAAACGTGAAGCCCAGGCAGGATGCCAAGGGCTTTACATACATTATCATGTTTAATCCTCGCAATAGCTTTATGAGGTCGGAGATTCTCATTAATATGAGACAAGTGAGGAAACCAGGGCTCAGACAGAAGTCACTTGTGCAAGCCCGGGTTGGAACCAGGATCGCCTGGCTGTTAAGCTCCATGCCACTCTGTCTCGAATTATTTTCCATGGCACAGAAGGCAGGGGGCCCTCCAGTGGATCCCCAGCCCCGGA